CAGTAGCACAAATTATTATAACCGAAGGTTATCTTAAATTTGGCAATTTTATTTGCCGATTTTTGGTTCCTTTATGGCAGAAAAACTGATTAAATTGACTGACATCTATGGGCGGAAAACTCCAAACAGTTTAACTTCGAAATAGATCTTAGTAGCGTAGCAATAATGCACACGATTTTCTAGTTTGCATGTTTGACGATGCGATACAAGCGCGTCAGTAGCTTCTAATAAATGACGCCAATTTAGTGAGAGGAGAAATGAATTGCTACTTTACCTTTGTTCTTCTTTCGACAGCAATCAATCAGTATAATTAAGGTTTAGACGGTCATGTTAATCTGCAGTCCGCTTTTTCCTTTGACATACAAACGGACAGTCGTTTATTGAGGTGAACGAAGCACATACATACTACATTCAACTCTGGAGGTTTGTATAAGTCTTGAAACCGCCACGAAGACCTCATTAGTGGATGTTAAAACTATTTTATCCAGCAAACCACGAGTGTTAGGAACGGACGACGGCCAGGTGAACAGCAAATCAAAGTCTGGAGGGTAATTCCTTAAATTAAAGGAGTTGCCGAGGTGGTTTCATGGCAGTTATAAACCGCCAGAACAGGCGTTACCCATCGACCCCAGGCAACAATCCGTCGCCATTTGCTGGAACCTAAAAGCACATTGCTACCCACTGAAACCTCAGCAGTTATCTATCAAGTATGTTCCAATTATGGAGACTGCGACTAAGTCGGGGAAACCAGACGTAAGTTGCATGCTCCTCTACAAAAGCACAAACTGGAAACTCAGAGATCGGACCCGAACTAGCAGCTTGCGACTGAAATCAGAGAAACTGGCTACAGTGTTGGCTTTCAAGGAGCAGTCAAATTAAACCGGGATCACATCAAAGACAGAATATCTAACACTTTTCCCCTTCTCGAGAAATTTTAAGCCCCACCTGCCCTTACACTTGCATTCAGGTTTTCCAAACTACCAATTGTGTATTTTCCGCATGCAAAAAAACAAAACATTTCTCTACGGTATTAAGAGGAGACCATATCGGGTTCATAAAATGTGACAGTGGATTTGAGCCATATTGTTGACTTTATAAGCCACATTGGTAAATGCAGAAGCACGAAGTTTTATGAACGGTCATTTCACGGTATTAAAAAATCTCACAATCAGAAACTTTTAAAACCAAATTTTACTTTTTCTGCGAGTAAATAAATGAAAGAAAACTTAATTTTCTACCGAATGAGCAAAAGGATGAATACTTTTATTCATTTTTTCCATAAAATATAATTGAATTTTCAAAAACTTCAAAAATGAATGAGAAAGATGCATGCTATTTAGGAAGAGAACACCAAAAACGTTGAATACCATCCTAACGTGGGTACGTTACATTTTTAGAAGTACAAAATGCTTGTTCATACATAAATTTGACCAATTTAATTTGGATAAACACACTTTCTTTTAAACTCTCCCACTTAAACTAAATTTTGACTGGTCATTCTTAGGAAATTGACGTCATATAAAGTTTGGCACTAATCTATTTACGTATTGTCCGTTTGTGTGCTTGTAGATGTTACCTGATTCGATCTAATTTTTTCCACTTTTGACGGGCCGGTAGATTGATAGGCTTTTCTCAGTAATTATCCTCGAACAACAAGATTTTATAATGTCAAAGAGAAAGATTAGAAGGTTGACTGACTTGGTACATTATATATATATATATATGTTTGCTAACATTTATTCGCTGAAAGGCTAAAGAACCCCGTTTCGGCATTATGCAGGAGCCATTTTTTCCTTCTGTTAGGCCACGTCTTATCAGTAAAATTGCATATGTTTTACTGAACTTTTTGACATTTTGTCCTTTTGTTTCTAAATTTGGTTACACTAGAAATCCGTCCCCAGAAAAGCATACAAAAGCATGTTTAAAAGTTAAGATGGCCATTCGTTGATGGAGGTTTTTAAGGTTAATCAGGATTTATTCTCAAACTATAAGCATATCGCATCGCTTAAACAAAGAGTAGCCTGTAGGCCATATTGCCGTACTGCGTGACATCAAATCACGTAAATTTGCAGAAATGACTTTTCAAATTCTAAAAAACGTGCGGTTGCATATAAGTAATTACTCTGTGTACATCCCGCTTCAATTGTTTTACGCAAAAATCAAGTGTCAAGTTCGGCAGTATTTTCGGCGAAATTTTCAAGGTTATATTGCTCTTCTCTCAAATTCAAACACACTTGGATGAGCAAAGTCTATGACAGCCACCTACACGGGGAATGTTTCCGGACATAAGGCAGCGCAGATTTCTGTTTAGATGTGAATTTTGACTGAAAATATTACTTAATTGTACATGCTGCACGAAAAGAGGCCATTTGCTAAAGTGGGCAGGACGAGTAAGGTAAATGCACAATAAAGTATGTTTCAAAAATAATTAACTCAATTTCCACCATCACGCTTGAGGAATTATATTACATACTGTGTATGCATAGAGGGAAGAGTTCGCCGCGTGAACCGCAGCTGGTTAAACTGAAATTCTTTGTGCGGCACTAAGCGAAATGTATGTTAGGTGTGATTTGTGACTGAAGAGACGAACGATTAAACTCATTTCACTCGATGCTATATCACATGCTGTTTTTGCAAGACATATTGTCTAATTCCCTCTACCGCAGGCTTATCTAGGGACTGCAAGAGATGATCGCTTCGTTCTAACATAAAGTATCATGTTGCATTCAATCCACTGCGTCATTTTATTTGAAGTCTGTGCAAACTAATATGTATTATTTTTACTTAAATTAATCAAGCATATTCAAGAGACGTTAACTCATACCTAAAATTTTTCAAACTACCGGCGTTCACATTTCACTTGTTTCCAATCGGTCTAGTCACATTATCAAGATTTTGACGAAATTCCCATCACCGTGATGGGTCATTTCATGGGGCGGATGAGTATAAGGTAGTCTGATAAATTGAGTTTGAAAAGACTTTTGGCAATATTGCAGGAAGCAGACTGATAACAGTTCTAAAAAACGCGGAATAGTCTTTTTACTGTCTGCAAATGTGGTTACGCTATGAAGCATTCAAGGTCTAAAAGCCAGTCAGTACACAGGGTTTTACTAATTGACCATGTCTCCAGATACGACAAGAAGTACGCACTGCCAGCCATGCCTCTCTGAATGGACAGACCAGTTGTCCCGGAAATGCAGCTGAATCACATTGAAACTAAATTTCAACACTATCTCATCTATCTCCAGCAGGATTTCGTCTTTTGCTTCTTGCGTGTTTAGATTATAATACTTTCCGTGCGGCTGCATTTTTCCCGTCATGCTCCGATTTAGTTCTGTTCTTATTTCTGTGTATTCAGATTTGTGAGGTCCTTCTACTTTTTTACTGTAAGGCAACCTAGTTATGGTCTTAGATCATACGTACAAAAGTACTTTCAATCCAGACACGACATTTATTCCGCAAATGGTTATTATTATCTTCTCTCCACTATGCAAACTTACTCGAGCGTCTACAATTCCAGGCAAAGGTTTTATGGACTGACGGACGTTTATGATTCGTTGATTTACGAGTCGCATTAATACTTGATAGTCCAACTGCCTGTTTTATATATTTAGTGTAACCTCCAAACACTTTATAAAATGCTGGAATCACTGTCTGTCTTTAAACTTCTCAACAACTGATTTTTGCAGGCTATTCATGGGAATCCCACTCGCATTAACAAAAGGCAGATGGTTGTGGAGATAGTCGTGGGTATTTAATTCAGTGCTATTTGCACGGTGAACAGTTAATTCGGTTTCAAGGCACATCTACAGAGCTATCCGTCAAAATTTCGGACATTTTTCCGCTCAGATGAGACTTAGGCAAGACGGCGGTATTTGGTTTTGATTTATTTACTCTGAGTAGGTCAGCAATTTGTTCTCACAATTTATAAACTGGGTACCTGAATAAACGGACCTCGTGGTAGATGCGCTGGACCCAAATTAGACTAGATCGGAGTCGAAAAATGTTATCGGAAATGCACAACCTTAACAAATGCCAACATTTCGGCATGTGACAGCGGGCCGCGTTTCCCGCTCACGTCACACCAACCGGGACCCCTGCCGTCCCCAATGCTTTTGTTGATTAAAGTCCTAGTCAAAAGTTGCTGTGAACCGGAGGGCCTATGGTGGTATGCCTAGGAACATATTTACGTCGTGCCAACCACCAGCGCCCTGCTCCACCTCCGATCTTCCTGACTTGGTCATGGTACCGGACTCAGGCTGGGATGAAGGAGAGAGTGCGTTAGATGCTGTTCGAGTCCACCATCACTAAAAACTAATCCACGCGCAAGTCACCGTCCCTGTTCCTGCCCTGTTTCGGGGTACATGGTGATCACTGTTGAAACCGACGGTCGAACTGTCACTTGACCAAGCTCCCAATGAATTCTGAAGCAAATAGGCAGTTTATCGGTAATAAGGTGATGAATCCCACGACCCCTGACTTAATAATGCATTATGAGTTAAGGACAATTAAGACGAAGATGCAATCGCTAGAACAACATTATCATAGGAGACGGTTGCAGTAAAAGGACAATTAACATTTCAAGCCACCGGCCAACATCCCAAAGCCACCTTTCTAGTAGAGCATGTGAACCAAATCATGACAAGCAGCACCCATGCGTTTGCATTTCCCTCCGATGTTCCCGTCAATGGCCCATTCTACCTCCAACTTTACTGTCCTGATTAGAATGCTTTAAATGTTTACGAAGACTAACCAAATGGTCTTCAATTATCAATAGCAATAATCGCAGATATGTTATTCTTGCCTACCCACCAACCATTAAGAGCATTTAAGGAGATATGCTTACCTTGATGAACTAAAAAGACGTTTTTGCATGCTACTAGTTCAATACTTTACTCAAATAGGGCTGTAAAAAAGACATTCCGAAGTGAAAAGAAAGAAGGCTTTGCTTCTGCAGGACGGGGTTATGCGTCAAGACGCAAAATCGTGGTACCAAAAAATTAATTCAGGATGCGAGCAATTAAAAAGATGCAAAAGGAGCTTATGGCCAAATTGTTTCTCAAGCCCGAGTCTTTGTACTTCGAACATTGATTTTTCACGCAGTAGTTCGCCTTTTCGCATTGACTGCAACTGGGTCCGCTCACGTACGGCCGCATTCTATTCACATTCCCCCTGAAAAGTGAAAAATAGGCCAAAGTATACGCAAATAATGTTGCTTATTCGTCGGTTTTTAACGGGCGATCTGCAATTTCTGCGATCAAACAGTTGCTTTTGGGGATAATGCACATTACCTTAAAAAACATAGACAACGTACATATTTAAATCGGAAAATTTTGGACAGTAAGAATTACTGGTGTCGCCGTAGACGTAAATAATTCACCTGACTGAATCAGACAAACACCGGCGATCTCGATGGAATGTGGACTCACGAGAGCAAAGCTTCATCATGATCAACGCTTTAACCGCCTGATCTATGAGTCTCCACTGCGAGAGCCATGAATTCAATCCTTTTTACTTCACGCTGATTGTCCAGGTTATTGCAACGTATGGGAGCCACTTCGTGGTCATCTCGTGGATGCTAGATTGATTGCTTAGAAAATCCTGCTTGAGCAGTCATGTTACTGTATCAGCTTTGTTTACGAGGGTTATATGGCCCAAGCGGGATTAACTTCACAGCCGCAGATGAGGCCCCGCATAACGGGGGTTTAGAACGTTGGCTGTGCCCAAGGCACCATAATGAGGCTGCCGCGTTTTCCACAATTAATTAGACAAATGTATGAGTTCGAATGCCAAGCAATTCGGGAACATTTCACACAACGATTTTGGTCTTTTTCGACAAGTAAATCTACCAAATAACCAAGAAAATTTGGGAGGTGCAGTTGTGCAAGTGACATCAAATCCGAACGTTTTAGTTCGTGTGTCACTGCGCTGATGTCCAATGCAATTACTCTTCTCCCCATTGGGCTAACTAATCCTAGAATTGGGATTCCAGGTCTTGTCAGTTCGGTTAAGTTCAGCTTTATTTATATAAAGACAGGCGGACGACTTCGAACTCCCTGTTAAGCCTTTGTTCCTCCTTTTTAAATTTGCAGCTTATGTCTAGTTAGATCGGTCGTATGTTATCGTTGCGTTTTCGGGTGTCTCTCGAGTGTCGAATGTCTCAAGTGAACTGTTGGTGGTCACTTTATTTGTCGTAGGACCTAATCAAGTATTTTGCAATTGATTAAGTTTGTGGTTGAGTGGAGCGCATGTCATGACGTCTGGTCGAGTGTATCAGTGTTCAATAAGCCGCTGAGTTAAAATTAGCTCTTATATCAGGCGGTTGTCAGTTTATTAAGTAAGCATATAATCAGAAATAGTAGAACACCTATTTGTGGACTTACTGTGGTTTGTATTGGCAGGCCACGAGGTATCCCTCAGCGTATCCGCTCATGATGCCCGGACACGATTTCCAAGCGCAACCCACGGCATTTGATTTTGCCCACACAACCTTTTAAATATAAAATTTTAAAATATAATAATCTACTTTATTCATGTACTCAAGTTTGCTTTCTAATGAAAGATCGGATATAGAAAACAACAATCTCATTGCATATATTTGGATAATGAAACAATGGCGTTTTACCAAAAAAGATTTTTTTGTGGGAAATTAAAACGGAGCAGCTGTATCAAGACAATCACCGGAGTTGGCAACAAATCAAACTTTTGAGTACAGCTGTGAATGAAAACACGGATGTCTCTTGATAATCAAAAAAGATCTAAACTCTCAAGAAATTCACGATTTAACGTCGAACGCTTTTCTTTGGAAATGCACCCTAATTCTGCAGAAAAAAACAAAAATACTATTAAAAGAAAGCAAATTATTTGGACCTGCCATTCATACTAAGATATATTCTCAACAGGCATACTCAGTATGCTGTATGCCTGTTTCGATTTTAGAAAAAGAGCGACAATTTCAACTCCATTTCTCTCAGTACAGCTGTATAAGCTTTCGATCAGCGCATGGTTACGAGGGAAACAACAAGAAGTAGAATCGATTGCTGGAAGACGAGGTTTATTCGCCAAACGCTTCGGACGTTTGCTCGAACGTATCATCGGAGACCGTGACAGTATCTGTCGGTAGTAAAGGTGAGCATATAACCACCTCATAAAGCGTAATTTAGAACGGCAAAAATGATGGGACACATTCAAAGTAAACAGCCAATCTCACACACATACAAACCTGCGTATAATGTCCACAGACACCGGAGCACTGGTTCGTTGAGTAAACGTACTTCGCCTTTTCACGATTCCAACCCGACACCGAACTCTCGTAAAGGTCTGCTGGCTTGGCTCCACCGAGCACAGCCAGATTTTGCCCTACGCCACTGTACTCTCGATCGACTCGGGGGTCGGGATGTCGAAACACACATTTCTCCACCCATTTAGCGGCCAGGATTTCCATTTCCGCCGAGTATGTCTTAAGAATGGAATAACATTTTCAAGTCAACATAGACGTCATTTTATCAACATGTTTGATGAACTGGTAAAATGCGATCGTTACAAAAAATATATCGAGTGAATCTAATTTCATTTACGATGACTAATAGATGCCGCTTAGGTTCTGACCTCACAATATCAAGACGTTCTGGCAGGGAGGGCAGAAGTGTTTCTCATATCTCTGCCGTAAAATATTATTCACATACGTTTAGAATCGCATTTTCATCCTAGTGGTTGACATTTTACTACTAGCCCTTTGATTATTCACACTTATTTTCCATATTTTGTGAAGTCAGATGTGTATCTGCTCCAGGAATAACATATTCCCCCGAAAACGAAAATCGATTTAAGTAATTCAGACTAATATTTTAACTAATCGAATTAGCAGAAGCGAAATAAACGCCTATAAATACAAGAGCGAATTGTGTGCTCATTTCCTGATCCTCATTCTCATTGGATGTTTTTATGGCAACCTCAAGTTCGGAAATCCCATGCTGCATAATGCAAATCGTAGACTCAGCGGGTGTGGTGCGCTTAGGGCTGTAGCCAGACTGCTGAATAATCGTCTCCTGTGGGCAACGTTTATTTTTAACATTATTCTGATTAAACGTCAATTCCACATCGTAGACATTTTAACATCGCATATGGCTCGCCGTAAATAGCAAATGCTTAAGCTATTAACGAGGAAAGACGATCATGGAACAAGAGCTACACTTTGCCATATCTCCGCTAATTATTCCATACAATGCAATCTTGTGTGGAAAGTTGCAATTCCAAAAATTTTCCTCGAAGGCATGCCGGAGATTGCAATATAATACTATAAGTTACTAAGACTAGAGGATAGCGGACTTAAATAACACACGGTTGGTGAATGAACACGGATCGGGTGAATTGACGCTGACAGCAGACGTATTTGAAACTTAAAATAATAGCTGCTTTAAGCACACAATGAGTATTGCGTATTTGGGTAGAAATGCAGAAGGTGGGCTGACTTATAAAATGTCCACCGAAATTCCGAAATGCGTTTTCTTTTCGAAAGGATTAATTAAGTAGAGTTGTAAAACTAATCATTCTACAACATAACTCTATAGTAATTCAGCTATCTCAGGATGCAGCCTTTCTGATAAAAGCCATTTTCGCGCTGCACGCCAAAACCCATATTCTGTAAAAAATGACTGCTTATGTAGCATGCATTATTCTCATTGATTTTCGATCACCTTAAATATTTCATTATGGTCCATGGAAAACGTCCATAAAAAATATTCATTCTTATCTCATTCGGTAAACAATTTCGTCTTCTTCCAATTTTATATTAGAAGGAAAGGTAGAATTCGGCTTTCAAAAACATTTCCAATTCCCGAATAATTTTGACTCCGCTCTACTGTTGCACTTGGATTCAGAATTTCTAAACTACAAGCCGTATATTTTCTGCATACAGAAAACCACACATTTCTCTACGGTACTAAAGGGGGACCATATAGAGTTCATAAAATTAAGCAGTGGATTTGATCCATATTGTTAACTTTACGGGCCACATCGATAAATGCAGAGAAATGTCGTTTTATGGACGGCCGTTTCACGGTATCAAAATTCTCACAATTAGAAATCCTTTTGAAACCGAATTCTACACTTTCTTTGAGTATAAAATTGAAGAAAGACGTCATTTTTAGCGAATGAACAAAAAGAATATTTTATGTCTGTTTCCATGAAATATAATTGGAATTTCAAGGGCATTGAGAAAAATGTATGCTACATAAGCAGTCATGCAGCCGAAAACAAGTTCTTCCAAAAGCCGGTATCCTGAGGTAGCCGAATCCTTGCAGACCTATGCTACAGAATGATTAATTTTACAGCTCTACTCAATTATTCCTTTCAAAATGAAAACGCAGTCCGGAATTTCGGCTGACATTTCATGAGGTAGCCCACATGAGGTATGCCACAAAGACACTTTAATTTTTTGACATCAATAGGATTATTTCGCAAAACAATCTGAATATCTAATAACCTTTAATCATTTTTACCTTTCCGATGACATTTAACAGTTTTCATTATCTACACCAGCCTGGCATATTTAATTAACTAAGTTTTACTGTTATCGAAACAAAGTAAAAAGATAGTGCGCTTCTTTCTTACAGAATGTATTTTAGTTTTTAACGCGAAGACACATGCGGTTTACCGTTACAGAGTATTTAAATAGAAATACGGTTGGGAGCAGTAGGTGATATAGATTACTGTGTCCGCACAGATGTTTGCTGAAGTAGGCGTCAGCAGTAGTGACACTTCTTTCACATCTTGACTGACTAACAGAAAATATATTCCGCGTACATGCGCCTCAAGTGGAGACTACCATAGGCTACAAAGTGCCACTTTCTGTAATTATGGTAGGAACAGACGTCGGCGGTACCAGGAAGACTGAATGACTTCGCCGATGACGAAAGTACATCTGATAGTATTAACCCAGAGCTATTCCAGTACACGTTTGGGAACTGGGCGTGAGGTTGATGGATTCCACACCTGCTTGGAATGCATTCAAGCCAAGGAGACACGATTGCTTGAACAACAGCTCTATTCCCCTGACGTCTCGGAATCCTGCTAGAACCCATCATCAGAAACAATAGCAGGTACGGGTAGTTCACGCACAAGGGACTGCACTCGCTATTCTATCGCAGATCTAGGAAAATAAATGTCTTTCCAATTCATCAGGGATTTTTGCACTTGGTGTGAGGATTGTTTGATGGCGAACATTCGAGTCGTAAATCGTTACAATTTCATCACGGGTGTTGGGTGTTAGTGTGATGGTTGCCTGACCATCTGACCCACCAACCCTGGCGTTGGATACAGTGTTCGCCTGTGGTCTTCCTCCCATGGTTAATAACTCCGCCTAAGCGAAGTCTGAGCACCGAGTATGGAAGGGGGAGGTTGTTGCACTTGTTAATAGATTGCGGGCCAGTGAACCGGGACTCAAGCAGCTTACGAATCACGTGGTTGCCGCCTCTAGCGAAAATTTTGGCCTCGTCGAATTTGAATGTGAGGTCGGATCTCGTCGAATGAGCTGTAGCTTTCGAGCTGGCGTCATTTCTCCGCAAAGCTGCAGCGTGTTCGGCCATTCACATTCTGAGATGTCTTTCGGTGTATCTGACGTAGTTACTCTGTCCGCAACTGCTTCAGATTTAATAAATGACTCCAGACGTTTCTGGCCGCTGCAGTGGGTATTTGACTTTCCTTATCTGACTCCTGATAGTTGTGTGCAGTCTATGTGCAACTTCATCCTAAAATATCCAACTAAAATTTGAGATCCGTGAGATTCGACCTTTCGTATCGTATGCACCGGTTGACGAAGCTGCAGGGAATGGCTATTGGTTTTGAGCACCCGTGGAAGGTATTATAGTTCGACATTAGTTGCCAAATGGCAATTCTTCGCATTTTGACCACTTTTCCTTCACAGATACAAATTATTCGGATGTATGGTTTCAGCCATATACAGGTCTGTTGATTCCCCTTTGTGATGTGAGAGCTTCATACTTTGTTAAAATAATGGTCATAGTTTAAAAGAAACGCATTATGATTGACGCAGTCGTTGCCGCCTCTCTCGGTTTAGGAAAATGATCCACCGGCTGGCGTTCAATGACTGTCCGACTAATGAAATAGATGAACTCACGCAAGCGAGCATCGATGGCAGACGAGTGAAGTCAAAAAGCTGACTTATTCATTGCTTCGGGATTTCGAGGTGCTTTGTTGCCAAATTAAAAAAGTGTGATTTGCCTTAGATAGATGTTCCCATAGTTATTTAACTGCTAGCGTTTTGCCGTGTGGCTACGTATAAGGACTGACGTATTTTCGACAGTTATAAGCGATTATATGAACGAAAATGTGACACTGTGACCAGACCCTCTGCATTCCTAGCTCTTTTTGTCGCTTAACAACCCTGAGCGGCAGTGATTTTCCATTTGTAGTTCCTTATTAGGCCAAATGTTTCCACATTTTTGCCAACTAAAGCTTTCTTCCTAGGTGCATGACGTCCTGTTTTACCAAAAGAAAAGAAATTTCTTCTGTTTAGTCATTGTGAATTTGGTGTAAGTAGAAAAACGAACGAAGTCGTTGTACTTACCATCAGTTGCATGTCAGCTGCAGGTGGATTGACCTTTTCTCTTTCATTATTATGCAAATCGAGAATTTTTTTCCTCTCTTCACCAGAAGCCGCGCAGATCGATTTAACGTTGATGACTGACAAGATAAACAAAAACGCATGCATGACTGGTCCCGCAGAGTTGAAATTGGCTTCTTTAATTCTGAAATAAAGGAATGGTTTCAGTTGAGAATTGAATAGAGAAACATCTGTGTCTCCTTTCAGAGAGGGGTCAATATTTTAGTGTTCTCACAATGCATCGGGTATTCTAATTTTTCACTGTATTCACATCAAGACTGTATTTGTTGCTTTGTGACTGCCAAAAACTAGAGAAAACCTAGCTCTGTCTAATTATAAATGAACCTTATTCCTATGCTCGGTATGCAGATGGCATTTTTGTAATAACGGAAGAAAACACTGATTTAAACCCCCTGCTGTATAAAGAGAATCAGGCTCACCCAACTTCAACCTCATTTTAGAAAGAAGAGAACAGAGAGATCCTCCCCTTTTGGGTGTTTTACTTAATCGAATTTCGGATGGAACAATTAATAGAAGTTTTTTTCGGAAGGAAACATAGAAGAAACAATGCATAGATATATGCAGTTTCGTTCAGCTCAATTACTGCCTCACCTATCGAGCTAGGAGAAAATGCACTCCAAATAGGTTTAGGGATGACCTCGCCATTATACAAAACACTCTGAGAGGCGAAGTAGAAAAGTTCAATGGAAAAATGAAACTTATATTTATTGCCAAAAATGATTATTTAATATCATACCTATGTCTATACGTTGCCCTTTTTGATTCGTTCAACTTTAAAAAACTCATGAAACGTGCCACTT